TTAAACCATGAAAACTGGCTCAATCCATTGTTTTGGAAAGCTGCAAACATTAAAGCTATTTATGAAGGCAAGAGTGAGAAAAATGATGTTTCTAATTATCGTCCTATTTCAGTTACCTCTTGCTTTAGCAAAATAATAGAAAAAGTATTTTTTAAATATCTATATAACTATTTGCGAGAACGTGAAATCATTACTAAGAACCAGTCAGGTTTTATTCCAGGAGATTCAACTGTGAATCAACTTCTTTCAATACATCATACGATTATGGATTCCCTTGATAAAGGACAAGAAATCCGCTCTGTATTCAGTGCCATAAGTAAAGCCTTCGATAGAGTGTGGCATGTGGGTTATTATACAAACTAGAATCTTGTGGTATATAAAGGAAACTTGCTAAGTTGGTTTAAAAATTACTTGTCAGATATAAAACAGCGTGTTTTAACCGAGGGCATTTTCGCAACTTATAAATCTGAGTTCCACAGGGATCTGTTTTAGGTCCCTTTTTATTTCTTTTATATATTAATGATATAGCCGATATGGTAATAAGTGACATAAAATTGTTTGCTGATGATAAATCCTGAAGTGAAATAAATAAAAAAAACAAAATTGACAGTTCACAAACATCTAGGTAGTATTTTATCTGAAGATGGTAAATGGATTCACCATATAAACAATATATATGAAAAAGCATTTAAAAGGGTAAATATATTAAAATCACTTAAAAAACGAGTCTCAAGAAAAACTCTTTTAAAGATATATAAAACATATATTTTGCCTATATTGGATTATGCAGACGTCTTGTGGGACATTTGCACGGAACAATCTAAACAACTGCTTGAATCTGTTCATTTAGAAGTCATAAAAGGATTGCGCAGAGGTACCTCTCATCATGAATTATATAAAGAACTTGTCGGGGAATATCTCTCAGATAGACGACAAAAACAAATTAATATTAATATTTAAGATACTTCATGGCATGGCCCCGCAACATCTGAAAGATATAGTGCAACCGTTTATATATCACAATGAAAATGAAAGATATCCATTAAGGACGACTAGATATTTCAACACTCCAATATGTAGAACAGTAAGCTATTATAGTTACTATTTTCCAAGTAAATTTGAGGAATGCAACTCATTTGCTCTCAATTTTGATTTATCCAATGTAAACTGTCTATCACAATTTAAAGCTCTACTCTTCAAAAATAATGAAACTGTCTCTGCTACAACAAAAACGTTTGCAAATGATGGAAGTCGAAATATAAATATATTTATGTGTCAACTTCGAAATGAAGCCAGCAATTTTAACTCTGTCCTTTTTCTTGACCATTTAAAAGATTCTCCCAATATGCACATGCAACCTTTGTGAGGAAACTGCGGAACATTATTTTGTTATCTGTCGTCTATTCAACCATTCTCGATTGACACTTAGAAATCAGCTGATTAACCAAAATATAACCCATGATCATTTGAATATAAACACACTACTTCATGGATGTCATGAATGTGATGAAGAAATCAATGCATTTGTACTACGATGTATATCAGAGTACATTACCAACACTAAAAGATTTGTTTAATCATAACCATACCATGTACGGTGGGGACATGGAGACACACTATATGAATTGTTTATATGTTTGTTTGATGATTTCAATGACTGTACATGTAACATACCGAAGTTGTAAGGAGAAGGCTTATATAGGCTTCGCCTGATGCTCTATCCCTTTGCATATTTTTTGCAATAAAAGTTGTTGAAATGAAAACGAACGATATTTTTAACTTGAAATTTTCAACGGTTATATACAACATATTTACTTACGAAATGTCAATTATATAAAATATATGTGCTTGAACGCAAAAAGAAAAATAGACAAATAATTATACATACTCGATCCGGAAAGCTACCTATGTTAAGGGGAGGTAGCTATACTGACCAGGTCATTTTATAGTGGTTGAAAACATTAGATAATATTTCGATCATATCTTGATTTATAAAGTGATATTAAAAGTGCATTTAAAAAAAACAACCTTTCATATGTATACACCGTAACTCTAACTTAAAATAGTTGATTTAACGGGCAAGCTATATCTCATCTTGAGAACACACATTTATTTAAGGACTGAAATTTTATTTAGCATTCATGAGGTCATAACAACATTGGCTTTCTGGACATATTCCATTAATTGCGTTAGCGATTCTTGGTAAATATGTCCAGAAAGCCACTGTTGTAATGACCTCATGAATCTGGAACTTTTTCATTTTTCATTCATTTCATTCCTTATATTTACATTTGTAAGTGCTTTGAATTTTCCGATGCAAGCATAAATAAAAGTAATACCAACATGTTCTTTCTATTTATGCATGCATGGGGCAACGCAGTAGAGAGAACGGTGTATTTTCGCGGGAAAATTTAAAACTTTTACTGGGGGTCCTAGCAACAGCATGACAACAAGACAAACAATATATAGATCCATTTTCAAAATTTTATTTGTAGAATTTACACAAGTCGGATATTATTATCATGTACCTTACACACCTCATTTGAGCTATAAAATGAAGCATATCATGTTGAATAATAATCATATTAGCATAACTAAACTATACCGAGGGCTGTTTCACGGCGGACGTGTTCCAATTACGCTCTACGCTACGTCATTAAAGTGTATAAATACGCAGTGATGAGGCCACCTGTGTTATGCAAAAATGAATGTCATTTTCACCAATGGGTCCAAGCATACATAATGTAAATATAAAAAAATCCATGTGATTTGATTCGATCCAACTACTTAATTAATAAAAGTACTTTCATATGATCAAACTTTTCTGGTGACCATTTAACTCGGTTACATGGTCATTGAATTCTAAACACGTTTACTCCTGCATTTCAGTTGTGATATAATTTATATTTATTTAATTACCATTAAAATTGATGTTTCAATGGCATTACACTATCATTAAAACCTTTAACTACAAAAGTTAATGATTTTTTCTTAGGCATTTAACTGTGTATATTAAGTAACAAGAGGCCCAGAGGGCCTGTATCGCTCACCTGTTTCTTTTGTTACATGCAACTGACATATAGGTAACTTAGGTAGCAGTATACAGTAGAGGGTTGTGGCCATGGGTGATATTTTTGTTAAATGGCTTACCCCTGTATAATGATATGTAAAACAATTATAAAAATAAAACTATACTAAAATAGGTATAAGCATGATGAAGTGGGCTATGTGAGCTTCACATTTGTAAAAAAAGAGAAGATTTATTTGGTTCGAGAATAAAATTTTGGCCATAATCCGAAAGGGTGCCTACACATGAAAAGCTAGCTTTACAGGAAGTAAAATTTTGACAACAACACACGACGCAAAATTGGAAAAAAACAAGTTTTACAACTTTACTGGGACCCAGATAATTCTGCAACCAGGTAGGTAATCTTTAATTTCAGACAGAACTTTAAAATTACTACTTGCGGGGGTCAAATTTTGGGTCAAAAATAGCATTTTTTGGCATTTTTGTGGTAACCATGGTTTTCACACAAGTGACATACATAGAAAAGGGAGGTTTATACACTTCTCAGTACTATATATGTATTGTAAATGTATTGCAGTTTACAAATATATATACTTGTATACATGTGTTGTGTAGGGTAAATCTGCTGTGTTTACATTTCCTCGACATGATCCTTGTTTATCAGAGTCGGGCCATTTCTACTGTACACTGCTACCTTAGACCAAATTTGGTAACTAGAACACAAGACATTTTAACATCTCCTCAACGGTTCTGAAGATATTGCTGTTTGAAACTTGAAATTTTAATTTTAAAGCTTTTAACCCATATTGACCTTTGACTCCCGACTTGCACTTAAAGTTGACCTTTGACCTCATTACTGTAATTAAGAAAACAATTCAAACAGCTGATCTACATAACATACCCAAGTATCATGACTCTAGTCCAAATGATTCTTAGGATATTGTTGTTTGAAGTTTTTAACATATATGACCCCTGTGACCTTGAAAGTAGGTCAAGGTAATTTAAACGAGGAAACTTTATAGCAATTCATCCCAGGTACCTACTGGCCAAATATCATGACCCTGAGCCTTATGGAATTTGAGAAGAAGATTGCTAAAGCTTTTAACCAAAGTTGACAGTTGACCCCCAACTAGAACTTAAAGTTGACCTTTGACCTCATAACTGTAATTAAGAAAACAATTTACACAGCTGATCTACATAACATACCCAAGTATCATGACTCTAGTCCAAATGGTTCTTAGGATATTGTTGTTTGAAGTTTTTAACATATATGACCCCTGTGACCTTGAAAATAGGTCAAGGTAATTTAAATGAGGAAACTTTATAGAATTCATCCCAGGTACCTACTGGCCAAATATCATGACCCTGAGCCTTATGGAATTTGAGAAGAAGATTGCTAAAGCTTTTAACCAAAGTTGACATTTGACCCCCAACTAGAACTTACAGTTGACCTGAGACCTCATAACTATAATTAAGAAACATATTCGCACTGCTGGTCTACATAACATTCCCAAGTATCATGACTTTTAGTCCAAATGATTCTTAGGATTTTGTTGTTTGAAGTTTTAAACATATTTGACCCAAGTGACCTTGAAAGTAGATCAAGGTCATTTTAATGAGGATCCTCTATAGCACTCCATCCCAGGGACCTACTGGCCAAATATGATGACCCTGGGCCTTATGGAACTTGAGAAGATTGTTAAAGCTTTTAACAAAAATTGACATTTGACCCCCGACTAGCATTTAAAGTTGACCTTTGACCTCATAACTGTCATTGAAAAAAAACATTGCACTGCTGGTCTACATAACATACCCAAGTATCATGACGCTAGTTCAAATGGTTCTTAGGATATTGCTGTTTGAAATTCTTCACATATTTGACCGCTGTGACCTTGAAAGTAGGTCAAGGTCATTTTAATGAGGAAACTTTATAGCACTCCATCCCAGGTACCTAATGGCCAAATATAATGACCCTAGGTCCTACAGTTCTTCAGAAGAAGTCGTTCAAAAGAAAAGGTTGACGGACGGACGACGGACGACGAACGCCGCATAAAAATGAGTTATTGATGCTCAAACTGTCCGTTTTCAATAAATTTCACTATCATTTAATGATTTCTAGTGTTGGTTATTAGTTGTTTCTTTACATGTTATAATCAATTATTGCGTTATCAATGAATATAATAAATTTGAATGTTCTTATCCTTGTCCATTTAGAGATGTCAAACTAAGGACTCGGGTATTACGATTTAACCCCTTTTATCGGTAAATGTGATAAGACCAAAGAATAACTAAAGCGTCTCCAAATATTTCTTAACTTGCAAAATATTGATTTGACATTCGAAAAATAACCTTTCTTTTTGACAAAAAGGGAGATGATCTAGATGTTCCTATTGTTCACAATGATGTGTTACTGAGAGTCAAACAATACAACTTCAGCTGTCTGCAAAAATATCTTTATTTGAACGAATAACAAACTATAATTCTAGAAGAAATTTGAGTACAGCATTCGATAAACGCGATGTTTTTTAAGGATATGGGGCAAATAGTAAAATCTTTTAACATAATCTCTTATACAGCTCAATTTCTATTCGTTGTCAGCAACCCTGTGCTTCTATATTTTGTAAAATGTTTATACACAAATAACCTTTATGCGACTGTGTTTCTTGCAAATGTTATAAAGCGAGTTGAATAAATACAAAGTATACAAATATAAACACGTTTGTAAGAACACTTGCGAACATAAAATTTTATTTATATTTGTCTATGAACATAACTATTAAAAACAAACAGTAACATATAAAAAAAAAGTTGAATATCATAGTTAACAACAGGTAAATCCCCAAGCGAAAACACTGTCAAACACTACCAAGATTATAATCATTCTAATAGCATCTTGCTGCTTATGTTTGTTTTATTTTAGTCGGAAAATAGAGAACAGGCATTGCCACATCTTTGGTTCCTTACAAAAATAATCCGTTTGGTTAACAAGGTATTTAATCTCACGAATTCGATTACATTTCAGCAAAATACTACAAGACTACTGTCAAATATCGCTGCTTAATCATATAACTAAATACTTGTAAGACTAGTCATATCAATGATGTTTGAACAACACTTTAGGCCTACACGTAATTCAAAATAAAGGCAAGGGAAATCATTGATAAAAGGAATGCCTGATATGAAGGGAAAATACAAAATGATGTCAGAATGTGTTTTCAATAATCATACATATGTAAATGTTAAATTTTGGGTACATGATTAAACATGAAAAGATGTGAAGATTGTTATATAGATTGTGTTGTAAGACGTTTCATGCATAAGTCAAAAATCATATATTTTCGCATTCAAATATAGCTTTCATTGATGCATTGCCTCAAATATGATTAATATAGAAACTGACTACAAATATCAAAGGTCGCTGAATTGGAATGTTAGAATTAATGAAACACACGCATTTGAGATAAAAAAAAAAAAAAAGAGTAAGTTTTGGGGGAACTTTATTAGCCATTCAGACATCATAATTTCGAATACCAGTGGGAAACCACGTCTATCAAATAAACTTTTAATTACACTTATCCACATAAAGGATTGTGCTTCCACTCGTTTATATTAATCACTTATCTAAATCATATACTACTGATTTCCAAAAGCGTGTCATTAGAATTTAAACAATAACTCCATAGGAAACATAATTCTTCGTATAAAATGTATATATTTATACATCAGCTGAAAACAAATCTTGGTCAAGATAATTTATTAATACAGAAACTGGTGCTACCTGGGCAAAAAGGGTAGTGCCCCGTTATCCGACGTTGGTACATATGAATACATGTCACAATTAGGCTATATTTTCTAGATTAGTTAAATTCATTCCAACCAAGTCAATAATACATGTACTGATGAATACCAACATAATTACATTATATATTTACAGTGTTACATTTAGAAGGCACAACATATGTATAAAGCTATATGAAACTCATGGCTTATCATAAGGAAAAGCTAAATATTGTATACATTTAATACAGTGATAAAATCATCGTATGTTTTATTTTGGTCAAGATGTTCATTTGTTTCTTACAATATTTTCTTATTTCCCAAAATCTGTTTACAATATCCTAGGTTTAAAAAAAAAATCAAACAAAGACAAAGCTATGGCAAGATATCAGATTTCACTTAAATTGAACCATTAAATTGTTCCACTTTTATCCTATATACTTTAAATACATTAAAACGGGAGTTTCACTTTAAAATTGATAATCAGCTATTGGCATAAATATTGTTGTCATTACTGTGTTCTTTTCTTCAATCACTTCCCGTAAATATTTCTATTTGATAGTTAATCATCCGGTCATATAAAGTAAATGTAAACTATATACTTTAAATACATTAAAACGGTAGTTTCACTTTAAAATTGATAATCAGCTATTGGCATAAATATTGTTGTCATTACTGTGGTCATTTCTTCTATCACTTCCCGTAAATATTTCTATTTGATAGTTAATCATCCGGTCATATAAAGTAAATGTAAAAGCTCGTAAACTTTCAGTTGATCTCTGTCAACAATTGTATCTGTTTTGTTTTTTATTTTATCATCCCGCAAGAAAACAGTATACTGACATTACGTATACACTCGCCAATATCGTATTTCGTTAGAGCTTTTATAAACCGTGTTTTGTGGTGGTATTAAATCATTGTGTTTGCTTTGTATTTCCGTTAAGTTGACGTTTAAATCGATAAGAAAATCAGTGAAGGGTATTTAAAGTTGACTAATTTATATGTCTTAAAAAGCAAATCATACCAGTTTTATTCTGATAACCAGGTACAATTTATTTAAAAATTAACAAAAAAATAGATGTTTTTTCATTAATTATTTATCTTAACCTGAATGAAATTTAGAAAATGAGTCACATGATTATATATGTAGATGTTTAGCATTTATGACAAATAGATAGTGCACGCATACACACAACATTAATGATACTACCAACACGCAGTTTTTACATTATGCAAACGCAACACGAAGAATGTATAAATTTTACCTCAAAAATATTTACAGAAATTTTTTTCCATACATATAATGGCTGGACATTTTTAGATCATGCATTACAGTATTTATCAGAATTAATGTATATGAGTTTTAAAATGCATGACACGGTAATAAAACATCAATTATATATATATATATATGATATATATAAGTTATTACTATTATGGGCTAATTTATCAAAGCAACAATAATATAATATTGACAAGTGATAACTATAGACAATGCATTAATTTCAGATTTTTTTTTTATATCATACCATGTAAAATGACCGCAGTAGAAATAATCATGTGTATTTCCTGTGTTATCCCAATAAAACATGCATTATCTAGGCTCTGTACCGCTGTGTAATGAAGCAAAGTTAACCAAATATATCAAAATATATAAACTATGATAAACACCTGGTACACTTTGTTTTAAATAATTAAGCTTTTTACTTGAAACAATAACGGTAACAAATCCACAAATGTATTAACGTTAAAGGTTGAATAGATACTTCACTTTTTAGTAAAATTTGTATTCAGATAGTAGTTTTCATAACAACTGCTGACCTGTCTTCCTGTTACGCTGAATGGTGTTGGATTACCTCCCTTTATATTAGGATGAGACCAGAACAAGCGGAACCCTTGATCGCTTATTCCACGTAATGCTGTCATTTTTGAACGAAAACTTTCATCGGGATTAGGGCTACCATGGAATTCAAAATCCAGTTGTCTAACGTTCCTCAGCACTCCAGAGGCTACCATATCAGGAATAGCTCCCCACTCGGATGACTCTATGTCCATTTTGATAATATCAATGGTTTTCTAAAATGAGAAAAACAAAACCTGGTTGCTTAATGGCATAATTTATAATCTCTAGTCTGCATTGTTTTCCTGCTTAAATATCGGTTACAGTAACAGTAATCATCAAATTATTATTATTGCGAACATATCCGACATGCATGTGGGGGTTAATCCGTGTGTGTCCCTTAGCATTGAAAGTTATGCCAGATAATTATCTTAGTATGTCCTAAAATGATAACATTCATCAATCTTTATATCAATATATTTTCGAAAGTTGTCCCAAAATTTTGAATTCAGACAGAACATGCATATCAAACATACCAGTACACCCTAACAACTGTATAATCCACTACAGATCGTATACTTAGCAGTTGGACATTATACACAACACTTACCCCAGTGTGACCAAGCATATCCATAATCTCCTTAAGATTCATCATGCTCCATTTCCCTTGCTTTCCTGCAGGCTTGCCCCACAGTCCCAGATTATGAAATGTGATTTTGTCTGATCGCTTATGATCTGACTTTCCAATGCTTTAAACAGGAAATGAAAAAAAAAACTACATATAATAGTTTGTCATATATTATCAGGCAGTGTAAAACACCGTTATATGTATTTTTGATTATATACATTAGTAACGAATATCATAAACGTAGAAATGTATGTAATAATATATTATTTCTGTAATATAACACATGTTATTGCAGTTTTCGGTATGTGTCTAAAATATGCAGTTTGCCTGACATCTCTTTTACATTATCATTCCTAATGGACGTAATTTAACGTGCATGTTCGAGTACTCGTAAAGTAACGTCAGTCCGTCAAGTGTACTGATCAGGACCACGATATGAATACTACACCGATATTTACATTTCGATTAGTGCAACAAGCTGTTTCAGGTCGTATACCATGATCGTTTTAAATCTAGCCAAACAAATTGAGTAAAGTATTTATTGCCTTGCCACCGGTTACGGCGTCATGTTGACCAACAATTATCAAAATCAATATATCACAGTTTTCATTGTTATGTTCAGAAATAATTTATCATCTTTTCAATTTCGCCGAACGCGGAACATGGAAAGCACATACAGATTGCATATCTACGTTAATGGTATTTAATTTTTACACTACGACTTACATATATCACTAGATCCGAATAATAAAGGAAATTTTCGCGCGTAAATATTCCTGTTTACAATAAATATCATTGTGCCTTAAAACCAAACAATGAACAAAATTATCAAAAGTCAACGAAAAAGGCAAGCAAGTTGCTGTTCGCCTTTTACGCTTTCAAGTCATTATAATATATACATCTGTTTTACGCTTAAAATAAACGTAAAGACCATTTTTATTTCATCTGATGCGAAGTATCTGAAGTTCGTTTTTAATGTTCCTGCATATCCTTAGCTTTGTTCGATATCGTCAATTTTTTATTGTGGTAATGTAATCTTAATTATTTAAAGCCTAGCTTGCTTTGACATCATGCTTTAAGTAAAACTATATAATATCTTGAAGGCGTTTCTATTTAATGTGAGATTTATGAAATCACGCTTGCTATTTTTTCGAACCTCATAGCTTGCATCGAAGAAAAAAACCCATTCCAATCACCCAAAAGTTATTAACTGTAGCAAACAACATTTCTTGAAGTATGTACACAAGCACAAAAAGCGTTATTATTTGTTAAACTAATTATGGATCGGTTAAGCGAACTCACATTGCAAATAACAATAGGATTTCAAGTTGCAAATTACACCTTAAAGCAATCTTTAAGTCTGCCGAAGTACTGCAAATGAGATTCAAGTCAATCTTGACAGTTTATAAAAGAGGTTTACCTTGGATCGAAAGAATGTACATCACATCCATAAATCTTGGACACTTCGTCATCAAACGACCAGTCTCCAGCCACTCCAAAAGAGTAGACAATACATGGTGAGGAGGGTCTATACTCCGTATCGTTACAGACGTCCCATCCTCCGTCGTCCACTTTCCCAATCCGGACCACATTCTTACAGTGTACTTGTGATGACACCAGTAGCCTGCTCAATAGCATCAACAGTTCTATGTCAAACATGGTTCTTACTACAATTATCAACAAATAGTTTTCTCGGCAAATGTATAGCCACTATTGAGGCAAATTCTATAGGGACTGAATTTCAGGAAACATTACCCTGCGAGAATTTATTCAACTAGTTAGTATTTCAACAAGCACGAGGCTCGGGAGCCGTGATTGCTCAGCTGGAATGTTTCAACCTGTTGGGTGCGATACAAGTTTATGAAAATGAGTATAAGAAACTCGTTTAGGTGGATATCTTGTAAAGTTTTGTGAAGTTCTATAGGAAGAATCGAACATGTTTTGCTGTTCTGAACTGAGATTGTTATTATAGCAATGTATTCACTTCTATCACACCATACGCCTTATGGTCAGGTGAACTTTTCAAAATTCCCTCCAATGTTTATACAATCGGAAGACTGTCACCGCCCGGGTTTCGTATTTCACCACAGGTGACAAATGGTTACTGGACACCATCAGAAGGTAAAAAGGATTCTAACATACCACAGCATTACCATACATGGTCAAAGTGAACCACAAAGTCGGTACATATACATATAAGTGAAACAATCAGACATTAAATAAATAGTTAAGACACATTTAGCCCCCACAAAATCTATAGCACGAACTTTAAGTAAGCTTTTCCTATACATTTTTAACTGCTCATTAAGTCTCATATCAAATCCAATAGAATATGTCTGTCACAAACAATCAAAGACGCTTAAATTTTACCATGATTGAGTTGGTCTGAAATTCTACAATAAATCATCTACTGCATACAACGTGTCGTATACAATAATATATAATGTCGTCATACTTCGAGGTTCTTACATACCGCGTTATCACAACCTAGGTCGTAGGACGTCTACTAGCGGTTCACAAATTATTATCCGTGGTAAAAAGGCCTTTGCAACCAGCCATTCTCAACTCTCTTGGGAACATACAACCGGTGCTGCCATTTAGGCGCACACAGCTAGCACTCAGCGATGTGATTCTATACTATATAAAACGTGTCGTATTCTATTGGTTATGTAAATGAACAATAACTTAATCTTTAACATATTTACCAGGAAGGGCATTTACTACTTTACCTATTATACAACGTAGCCAAAGGTTTGAGCGGTAGAGTTTTGATAATCTCCGGTCGGTACACTTCGAGCGGACCAATTATCGGCATTTCTCGCATCTAAAACAAATAAAGATGTCAGTTTTATTGTATCCTCTTTGACCACATGCTTAATTGTTATATGCTTAAAATGTGTAAACATATGTGTGTAGCCTGTATCGCTAAATTGTAACTTGAACAGCTGATTGATATTGTTAGACTTTTAACTTTTGTCCTTTATAGCGCAGTATCCATTCATGTTAGACTTGCTATGTAGTATAACAGTTTACGAATATGTCACCACTAACTGTGACATATAAAGATTATTCTAAGTTTTGACTGAAATATCCTTTTTTATCACATGTTAGAGTCAACTTTTTATGCATTGTTATGATAAAGATTATAAAAGTATATTAAGGAAGCTGTAATACCAGGTAATCAGCTTAAGCAAATAAACAATTTTCAAAGTCCATGAATACTTTTAGTGATATAACTGATTGGCAATTTACATATTCTATTTCCTTTAATTATCTTTAGCAATACGAAAACATCAGTTGTGTGGCGGTAACACAGACCACATTTTGAATTCCTTTGCTAAAATGGATTACAATATCTCTATTACAAAATATTATTACTACTTGTGTGTAGCAAGACAGTGTTGGCATAGATATAAGAATAAATCATTATATGCTAAACATTATGATCCAGGATGAAGGCATACGATTGAAATTAGAAAATGGAATACTAATGGAGTTAACTAGTATTGATACAGCCCTGATGATAAATCATTTGCACTAACAAGGTATTTAAATTGTATGACGTACAAAAGAAATATTTAATAAGGTATCTACGACTATGCAAACCGTTTTAAAATACAAGCTTGCCATTTAAATAATAAGTGTTTACCATGTAAAGAGAATAGCAACCGGTTCTTCTCCAGTTCCCCTTAAACAAACACTGAACATTTCTTGCAAAGTGGAATGTTCTGAAGCCATCTGAGTAGAGTGCCCGTAAGACCTGAAGGTGCTGCACGTACACAGACGCCTTGCTGTTAGCACTGATCCCATGGAAGGTTACCAACAGTTGCCGCACGTTCTTTAGTAGATCTTTTGTTAACATCCAAGACAATAACTGGACCTCGTCTCCCCCTATGTCGATCGTCATGTAATCAATATCACCCTGTTGATAAAAACATAATTTGCAATCAAAGCTTACATATTTCATATACGTATACCTAATATAAAAACTATATATATATATCAAAATGACCTTCGCGCCACCCTTGTCACGTCTACATTAGAGTGAAATACTTTATTATCTATACTCTTTTTATTCACTAAATTGAACAGCCAGAAAACATCTGTAATTGTAGGAAAAGTAATAACGAACATGAAAATTGAAGATTTTTTTTTAAAATAATGTCGTTTATGAGAAAATTGTCATTTAAAAATACATTGAATCACATTGATTAAAAAGACACAATGACATACAAGTTTCGTTTGATTATATTTTCAATCAAATTTTCCACTTAGCATCGCGACACCGCTGGTAGCCTGCTGAGCGATAGATACTCCATAACGACACTGTTACTTTGTTCACAGACGATAACATATCGGTAAAACCTTACTTTTCGTGTACGACAGCTAACCCGTCACAATTATAACGGTTATTCGAATTTCTTTTGCAAATATATCTACAATCTTGAAAGAAACAATCGATGATTGCATAGACGGTACAGAGCAGATTGTATGACAAATATATTGAATTAGGTTCTGTGGTGGTAATGGGCGATTTTAATGCTCACTTGTCAAAAAGTTATGGTGTGAAAAACCATAGTGTAGCAAATGAGAGGGGACTTATGCTAGAAAATGTTATACAGGATCATCATTTGATATCTGCTAACTTCTAAAGCTGGTCACCTGGGCCAAATTACACATACATATCTGGTGATGGTGATCACGTATCTATGATCGACCATATACTTGTCGAAAAATCCAAAATCGACCTTGTAGATTCCTGTCATATATGTGATGACCATTCTCTAAATATGTCTGACCATCGACCGATACATCTTACATTTCGAATGAACTGTCATAAACGTGATTATCCATTGCTAGATTCGGCTATTAACTGGGAAAAAGTAACGGATAAACACATATAAACAACGATTAGATATGCTATTGGAACAAATACAAGTTCCGGCGGATATCTCTGAGATTGCTAAAATAATGAATGTTGCTGCAAAATTATCGTTTCCTACAAAACGATACAGACATTATTTGAAACCGTATTGGAACTACAATAATGTGAAATCTCTACATACTTATATGAGATATATGCGGTCTTTATGGATCGATGAAGGTCGTCCATGTGGTGAAGGTCATGAGACCTACACAAACTATAAAACCGCGAAGAGATCATTTCGCAATGAGTTAAAACTCGCTCGTGAACAGTACGAAAGGGAGCAGTTTGAACAACTTGAAAAAATTGTAGAACTCGACATCGGAACATTTTATAAAGCTATACGTACAAAGAGGAATGTAAGTAAAAACGCTTCCTCGTATGAATTACGGGTTAATGGGAAGTTACTCGTGATTCTGATATTTTGAGAGGGCCGTGGTATGAACATTTTCGTAATTTATCAAGTCCTCTCAATGAACCACACTTAGATGACGAGTTCAAGAAATGCATTGAACGCATGGTCGACCGTATGTACGTTAATAGTTTTAACAATAATGACGGTATTTGTGACGACCCCATTACAGTTTTGGAAGTCAAACAGACTTTTAGAGATATGAATAGTGGAAAAGCCGGTGGACGCGACGATTTAGTTCTAGAACATATAAGATAGGTTAGTTGTAATTTGCTAAACTCAATTGTTGCATGTTTTAATGACATAACAGAAAGGGAGTCATACACTGGACATTTCAAATTTGGTATAGTAATTACTCTTTTTAAAGGTGGTAAGCGAGATCGGTTGCTAATGGATAATTACAGGGACATAACTCTTACACCGATCCTGCAAAAGTTACTGGAAAAGGTTTTATTCTCTAGAATCTTAAAGCAGTGTAATGTCATACAGTTTCCCCATAAGCTTCGACAATGTTTCAGGGAGCACTGTGGAAGTATCACGGCAGCATTCACCGTAAAGGAATCTATTTCATATCATATAGAAAGAAAATCAAAAGTGTTCGCTGCCTTTCTTGATAATCAAAAAGCATTTAATAGTGTGTGGTTAAACGATCTTATGTACAAATTATACAATTTAGGTTTCAATGGCAAGTTTTGGAGGCTATTATTTGATTCATTTACTAATGTGACGTCATCGGTGTTTTTTGATGGTAAACGTAGTAATACGTACCCAATAGGTCAGGGGGTAGGTCAAGGTCGAGTGTTATCCGCATGGTGTTTTCTGGTAATGATCAATGATCTTGCTGTCGAGCTAGACAATCGTAATTTTGGGTTAAAAGTTAAAGATATACACATACCCTGTGTATTGTTAGCAGATGATACGTTATTTTTATCCGCGTCGCTTTCTCTTCTTCAAAAACAGTTGGACATTGTATATTATTACTCTGCTATGTGGCGCTTTAAGTATAACTCTGTTAATAGTTCTCTTATGATATTCGATCGCTCACGTCGATCGAAATCAGAGCAACGTAGTAAAATATCTTGTTCTCTTTGAGAAGTGGCTATTCCAAGTACTACACAGAAGACTTATGCTGGGATATTCTCTTCATGTAACCTAAAATCAGACAGTGGTATTACCGAGTCCTGTGTGAAAGGAAGGAAAAGTTTAATCCCTCTTATTGGTATATGCATTCACGCTAATGGACTTAATCATTTAACTAGTTTTAATATAGTAAAATCTGTTGTTTATACATGTATGCTATATGGAAGCGAACTTTGGAACGTTTATGCCAATAAATCTGTTGAAGAATTAGAACTCACTCATAGATATGTTTGAAGGCGTTGTATTGGACTACCGAAAACGTCATCAACTGCTGTAACTTCACAATGTTTAGGAGTTTTTAACATCTGGAGCGAGGTAGAAATTAAAAAACTGCTATTTTGGAATGAGTTGTGTCTAGGAAATGTAAAGTTTGTATGGAAGTCCTTGTTTATTATTAAATTATGTCAGTTCATGTTAGGCGAACTGTCCGCTGTACAAATAGGATTTATTCCCGATGGGTTCAACATCATGAAAAAGTTTAATATAGAATCACTTTTAATTGACTTTTTAACCAACATATTTGTACCTGCAAAATTATGCTGGAAACGTTTTATTAAAAGATTTATTACAGATTTCTATCATGTACAGTGGAGAGATGTCCTATCTACAAAAGCGGAATTGCTTCGTCATTCTGCCATTCACAGTTTTCAGGGAATCAACCCCATATTAGAACTAAGTACCAAGCAATAATCGCATAAATGCATGTGGCAGTTAATAGAGCGAATGAAATATTCATTTATATTTGAACGCGATATTGTATTATGTAAACTTTGTGGTAAATCTACTGCCGATATTGTTTTTCATTTTCTGCTTGAGTGTCCGAAATTGTTTGAAACGCGTGACTTAATGATGGATGGTGTGGTGAATGCCTTAGAAGTTCCCTCCTATATTTCATTTAGAAATATAGAGGAAGAAAACCAATGCAGTTTCTTATTAGGAGATCGTGTGAATATACTACTAGAAGACTACGAGTGGGAAAATATGATGATCAATATGTCAATTTATCTAGAAAGAATAGTGTGTGAGATTGACACGTTATTGTAACTATCTTCCTTTTTCTATTGATGAACGCTATCTTTATGTAATTTGAAATGTAAACATATATGTATGTATTGATTGACTTTGATCTCTTGTAAAAGAGGAAATAAAGAATGTCTGTCCGTCTGTCTGTCTGTCTGTCTATCCTGTGACTAATATGAGCATTTGTAAACTTGTCCAACAAATATTCTTTAATTAACCATAACCGTAATAGTTATCATCAATGCATTTTTTTATACATTAAGTGAATTACACATGGTTACACAACTAACCTTGGACTTCAGCGTTGAAACTATAGAAGTGTCTTCGGTCACAGGAGAGTTTTGTGCTGCTACCACAGCACTGCAAATATCATGTTTCAGCTATTATAACAGTATCAACCTAACTCATTCAAAAATATTCTCCTAACACATGTTCATATAACAACATATTGGCCATATCATAACCATTCACTCCTAAGCTATTTAATGATTTCATTAACTCAATGTATAATTGACTTAATCCTTTGAAGAGATTTGTCTTAAAATTTACTAGATACACGAAAACTTGTATCTATCAAATGTGTCGGAACGTTTAAAAACCGAATGGTCCCATTGCCAAGCTATGTCCAGCTAAGGCTAAGTAAGACAAACCACTAAGTCATAGCTTGACAATGGAACCAGACAATCTTACATGGCTGCGGTGATCAGTAATACAAAATACTACCTAAGAAATGTATTTAACACTGATACCTAAGAAATGTATATATAACACTGATACCTAGAAATGTATATAACACTGATACGTAGAAATGTATAATACATTGATACCTAGGAAATGTATATATAACACTGATACGTAGAAATATATATAACACTGATACCTAAGATGTATATATAAAACTGATACGTAGAAATGTATATATAACACTGATACGTAGAAATGTATATAACACTGATTCCTAAGAAATGTATATAACACTGATATGTAGAAATGTATATATAACACTTATACGTAGAAATGTATATATAACACTGATACGTAGAAATGTATATAACACTGATACCTAAGATGTATATATAAAACTGATACGTAGAAATGTATATATAACACTGAAACGTAGAAATGTATATAACACTGATACCTAGAAATGTATATAACACTGATACGTAGAAATGTATATAACACTGATACCTAAGAAATGTATATATAACACTGATACCTAAGAAATGTATAAATAACACTGATACCTAAGAAATGTATATATAACACTGATTCCTAAGAAATGTATATAACACTGATATGTAGAAATGTATATATAACACTGAAACGTAGAAATGTATATAACACTGATACATAAGATGTATATATAACACTGATACCTAGAATTGTATATAACACTGATACGTAGAAATGTATAATACATTGATACCTAGGAAATGTATATATAACACTGATACGTAGAAATATATATCACACTGATACCCAAGAAATGTATATATAACACTGATACGTAGAAATGTATATCACACTGAAACGTAGAAATGTATATAACACTGATACCTAAAAAATATATATATAACACTGATACCTAAGAAATGTATATATAACACTGATACCTAAGAAATGTATATATTACACTGATACCTAAGAAATGTTTATATAACACTGATATATAAGACATATATAACACCGATACCTAAGAAATGTATATATAACATTGATACCTAAGACATGTATATAACACTGATACCTACAGCATGTATACATAACACTGATATCTAAGACATGTATATAACACTGATACCTAAAACATGTATATATAATACTGATATCTAAAGCATGTATATATAACACTGATACGGTGATGGATACTTAACCTACTTAACAGTGATACGTAAGATATGTTTACACAACACTGATACATACACACATCAATGATGCATACACAAGACAGGCATACACAAAATAGACATACATAAGACAGGCATACACAAGACAGACATACACAAGACCGCCATACACAAGACAGACTTGCTCAAGACAGGGATACACAAAATAGACATACACAAGACATGCATACACAAGACATGCATACACAAAATAGACATACACAAGACAGGCATACACGAGACAGACATACACAAGACAGGCATACCCAAGACAGACATACACGAGACAGACATATACAAGACAGGCATACACGAGACAGTCATACACAAGACAGGCATACCCAAGACAGACATACACAAGACAGACATACACAAGACAGGCATACACAAGACAGGCATACCCAAGACAGACATATACAAGACAGACATATACAAGACAGGCATATACAAGACATGCATACACAAAATAGACATACACAAGACAGGCAAACACGAGACAGACATACACAAGACAGGCATACCCAAGACAGACATAAACAATACAGACATACACAAAATAGATATACACAAGACATGCATACACAAAATAGACATACACAAGACAGACATACACAAGACAGACATACACAAGACATGCATACACGAAATAGACATACACAAGACAGGGATACACAAAATAGACATACACAAGACAGACATACACAAGACAGACATACAATACCCAAGACAGACATATACAAGACAGACATATACAAGACAGGCATATACAAGCCATGCATACACAAAATAGACATACACAAGACATGCATACACAAGACATGCATACACAAAATAGACATACACAAGACAGACATACACGAGACAGACATACACAAGACAGGCATACCCAAGGCAGACATATACAAGACAGACATATACAAGCCATGCATACACAAAATAGACATACACAAGACAGACATACACGAGACAGACATACACAAGACAGGCATACCCAAGACAGACATATACAAGACAGACATATACAAGCCATGCATACACAAAATAGACATACACAAGACATGCATACACAAGACAGGGATACACAAGACAGACATACACAAGACATGCATACAAACGACATACATACAAAATACAGACTTGCTCAAGACAGGGATACACTAAATAGACATACACAAGACATGCATACACAAGACATGCATACACAAAATAGACATACCCAAGACAGACATATACAAGACAGGCATACACAAGACATGCATACAAAATACAGACTTGCACAAGACAGGGATACACAAAATAGACATACACAAGACATGCATACACAAGACAGAAATACACAAGACAGACATACACAAGACAGGCATACCCAAGACAGACATACACAAGACAGACATACACAAGACATGCATACACAAGACAGACATACACAAAATAGACATATACAAGACAGGCATACACGAGACAGACATACACAAGACAGGCATACACAAGACAGGCATACACAAGACAGACATACACAAGACAGACAGACACAAGACAGACATACACAAGACAGACATACACAAGACAGGCATACACAAGACAGGCATACACAAGACAGACATACACAAGACAGACATACACAAGACAGGCATACACAAGACAGGCATACACATTTGACAGACATACACAAGACAGACATACACAAGACAGACATACACAAGACAGACATACACAAGACAGACATACACAAGACAGGCATACACAAGACAGACATACACAAGACAGACATACACAAGACAGACATACACAAGACAGACATACACAAGACAGGCATACACAAGACAGACATACACAAGACAGACATACACAAGACAGACATACACAAGACAGACATACACAAGACAGACATACACAAGACAGACATACACAAGACAGGCATACACAAGACAGACATACACAAGACAGACATACACAAAATAGACATACACAAGACAGGCATACACAAAATAGACATACACAAGACATGCATACACAAGACAGGCATACACAAGACAGACATATCCAAGCCATGCATACACAAAATAGACATACCCAAGACAGACATACACAAGACATGCATACACAAGACAGGCATACACAAGACAAGCATACACAAGACATGCATACACAAGACAGGCATACACAAGACAAGCATACACAAGACATGCATACACAAGACAGGCATACACAAGACAGACATACCCAAGACAGACATACACAAGACAGACATACACAGGACAGACATACACAAGACAGGCATACATAAAATAGACATACACAAGTCAGGCATACACAAAATAGACACACACAAGACAGACATACAAAAGACAGGCTGACACAAGACAGACATACACAAGACAGACAAACACAAAAAAGACATACACAAGACAGACATACAAAAGACAGGCTTACACAAGACATGCATCCACAAGACAGGCATACACAAGACAGACATACAAAAGACAGGCATACACAAGACAGACATATACAAGACAGACATACACAAGACAGACATACCCAAGACAGGCATACACAAGACAGACATATACAAGCCATGCATACACAAAATAGACATACACAAGACAGACATACAAAAGACAGGCTTACACAAGACAGACATACACAAGACAGACATACACAAGACAGACATACACAAGACAGGCATACCCAAGACAGGCATACACAAAATAGACATACACAAGACAGGCATACTCAAGACAGACATACACAAGACAGACATACACAAGACAGACATATACAAGACAGGCATACACAAGACAGGCATACATAAGACAGGCATACACAAAATAGACATACACAAGACACACATACACAAGACAGACATACACAAGACAGACATATACAAGACAGACATACACAAGACAGGCATACCCAAGACAGACAGACCCAAGACAGGCATACCCAAGACAGGCATACACAAGACAGACATATACAAGACATGCATACACAAAATAGACATACACAAGACAGACATGCACAAGACAGACATACACAAGACAGGCATACTCAAGACAGACATACACAAGACAGACATACACAAAACAGACATACACAAGACAGGCATACACAAGACATGCATACACAAGACAGGCATACCCAAGACAGACAGACCCAAGACAGGCATACCCAAGACAGGCATACACAAAATAGACATACACAAGACACACATACACAAGACAGACATACACAAGACAGACATACCCAAGACAGACATATACAAGACAGGCATACACAAGACAGGCATACACAAGACAGGCATACACAAAATAGACATACACAAGACAGGCATACACAAGACAGGCATACACAAGACATGCATACACAAGACAGGCATACACAAGACAGACATACACAAGACAGGCATACACAAATTAAACATACACAAGACAGGCATACACTAAAAGACATACGTTTTCAAATTTTGATGTTTTAACAACCTTTTTAACAATACGTTTTTCTCGCATTGGTAGTCTTGCTTCAGCTCTTCAAAAAAGGCGTTATTGACGCTGTTGTCGCTGGATCTGTATTAAAATGTGAAGAGTGAGACCATATTTCAAGCGACATTACTTCTGTGGTATTTTTTATGCTTAAGTCAAGTTCACATAGACAGCATTGTTTGATGGTAAATGCATTCGTTTATATCATTTTTCTAGTGTTTACCTATTACAACACATCACTGTAATCCACATAAGAACGATACCGTTTGCTCATGATACCTTGTGGAATCGTTCGATTTGTATAGTCATAGATACGTAAGTATATCATTGTGATCGTTACAATACTCAAGCCACGATGTACATGTTAAACCACAAAAATATACTGTTTCTATATTCCATCCAAGAGATTCAAGTTGAGCATGACTACTGACTATTACATGTACTTATCTTGACATTGTAAATAATTACACTTTATATGTATTAAATTATTTTATTATTTTTAATTGTAACAGTTGTTGGTAGCAGTGACCCGTGCAATATATGCACATGGACTTTTGGTTTAAGTCTGCCAATATCTGTCTATGATAGTGCATATATATGCTGAAATAATTGTATTTGTACATATACAAAATGTACTTGTATGTGTGTGTAAGTGTGTATGAAGTGTGTAAGATGTTTCCTTCATGAGTTACTTCCCCTTAGCCTTGTGTTAATATAAATTATTTTGTGTAAATGTTTTCATTTCCAACATGTCTAAAATATTATGTCTCATTGTTCATTCCACTTTGGTCATTTGACGGAGAGAATTTATATAGGCTTTGCCTGTTATTCTATACAATTGACTATGACATCTTGTCAATAAAATATGATGAAATGAAAATACGAAAATATACCATTGTGATCGTTACAATTCTGATGTTATTGTTACGCTACAATTTTTTTCGGGTAAAGACCTAATTTTGTCCCCAGAGGCCAAATGATCCTTTTGTATATATGTATAAGGGTGGGGGAACAACCTTCCCTATGTTAGAATCCCCTGACAACATAATTGTGTTTATGTCCAGCAACCTTCCTGGGCAGGGCTTAACACTGGGCTAATCTTAGTGACATATTCATTTCTTCATGTCAAGCATTGGGGAACCAAATCTCTTTCCACGTTATGAGCGCTATGCTATGTCTTCTTGTATAGGGACAGACCAACGGAAGGGACAATCCTGGCAGCACGGATGTTCATTTGTATTTGTCTCACAATGTCCCATGTGTGAATATCTGGTAATAGAATGGGGATCTCAAGTGTGTTCAATACCCGGTTTCCCTATGACGCATTGCGCATGGGCTGGAGACTAGTATTGCTATTAAAACACCAAATTGACTCCCCTTTGCACAATCAATTAATCCTAACTGAAGAGAAAGTATTTTAAAGACTTTTCCTTATCTCCGATTTATGGGCGCATCCGTCAGTCCCTGAAACGGCCACACTATCTGTTTATACAAAACTGAGTCCATCTGGCCCATAGGTGCTCTAAAGTAAATGTGGTTTAAACTCCTCCAATCGTACGGAAAGGATTGAAAGATTTGTCTCAAATTTCCCATATTTGGCCGTGACACATCCCCCCTCCCCCCGGGCGGGAAACACACCATCTGCTTGCACAATATTGAGTCACAGACGGACAGGTGGATGGATAGGCGGGCAATCTGATCCCAGTATAACTCCATAACCTGGTCACAAATGTGTCCTGGTAATTACAAGGTATATCATTTCTCGTATTTGATCCACACAAAAAAAAGTATATTTGCGTATAGTCAATAATGCGTGTATTTATGATAGTCCTTGGCTTTATATATAAACGTATCGTCGATGGTGTAAACCCTCACACAAATTTGAAATCAATTACATTCTGTGTATTAATCTTTCTATAATGAATAGTCTGTATCATAAAGTAAATGTGGTCATGTAATGCCCGCATCGCATACGGAGGAGGAGGAGGAGGAGGAGGAGGAGGAGGAAAAGTGATATATTATATATGATAAAAATACGGAGGAGGAAAAGCGATAAATTATATGAGATATACAATTTGAAATATCACGTTATTGTTTATGATATTCACCGGTGGATATATTCATACTTACGTTATCATATATGCCACACACGATTTAGAGTTGTTTCCCCTGACCACACTACATGTGTACCAACCCAACTTAACTCCTCCATAAACCGTCTTCACAGGACAAAACACTTGAAGGGTGTTCACATAGCTGTAATTATAACAATGCAAAATAAAACAAAACATTTATTTTTCATTGTAGAAAATATTTCAACTTTATATCATGTCCACCAATTTATGTTTTTTACCTGTGAAACAGAAGATGAGTTATCATTACATTCTTAAGTACTTTTCAACACAGAAGATGTTATTGAAGCAAGTAAATGGTCGAAATTTTGACATAGAACGAACTTTAAAATCTAAGAAAACGACAACTTGATTAATAAAAGCGGCTATGTTTAGTGACATATACATGTTTACCTTTTTAACAGTTTTAATGTATTGTAGAATTGTTAAGAAACTGTTTAAGAAAGAGATTTAAAACTTGTTATATTGTTATGGCAATTTTTCGTGTTGGCTGAGTTACAATGTAATCTTATAGCAAGGGTTTTTACAAGGTTCCTATCATGTAATGCATTGAAGCTTGTCTTCGCGTTACAGTAAATAAATATAGGTATTGCATAAATGACACATCCGAAGACAGGACAAACTCGTCTCGATGGCATTTTCTATAGGTAAGACACGACTTACCGATTATGGGTTTTATAAAGCGTAATTTAAAATACACTTTATTTAGTTTATAACAATTATGAAACAAGTTATTTCAACTTATGTTAATCACTCTTGTTGGCCCGGATGTTAGCGTGTTGAGGGGGGATCCACCCGATCGGGCAGGTGACCTCATACCTTGTCACGTCCGCCGATCGAACCACGCCCGCCTTAGTAAAAGGCAGATGCGTTATCCATTGCACCAACCGACCACCCGAATAAGCGTAATTTGTTGTCTCGCATTAATTCAAAGTATTTACCAAGGTGATCTCAGAAACTTTGTTATTAGTGTTTTAATGTATAAAACAGATGACGTTAAAATCATTAAATGGTAGTGATAAAGCCACGTCGCAATCTGCCTTTTCATTACGTGGTGTTTCCAAAGGTTCGAGATGCGAGCCAAATGCAATATGGCATTTTGAGGTAATACTAAATAATGTTTATATTTTATCAATTAACTGTGAAATATAAAACATGTTTATAATAAGAATATCTTAAGTTCGCGTATTTATCTCGCTTTTTGATATTCATCAGATAAACTATGTAATATAATCTAATCTCTATGATGTTTATATACATGTAGCTCTCCAAATCACAATTATTGAAAAATGAAGGTGTATCAACCTTCCTTTTTAGCTTTTGTAACCTGTATGTGACCTGCAAATGATTAAGTAACATGAGTCAACAATGTTTTGGTTAGTCACCACATGGCGGAATAGTACGGCTGAGGAGGAAAGGTCAATACACTTTTGATGTAGGAATTGTATAGGTCTACGTGTCTATAGGAGTTGATCGATTTCCGGAGCTGATTATTAATGCGAGCTTTAATACGACGGCTTGATCTCAATTTAAACGAAATGGTTTGTATGCATAATCGATAATTTGTTATTTGTCAGCTACATTCAGTAACAGTATAGCACTTAAGGCTACAGAGAAGTCTGGCCATGGTGGAATGACCTGAAGTTGGCACACAAGTTCGTTTTATATTTATGATAATGTCTGGATGAATAACTACATTAGATTACATATCATCAACACAATCGTCAGCATGCATGCAAGAGACGCTAAGCAAAATAGTCAAACAAATTGTAAACTTCATTTTGAAATATTCCTCCAGGTAGGTGGTGGCTGGTTCAAACGTATATTATGAACATCTTATGTTATGTCTTCTCGAAAAATCAGTATTTTTGCATGTGTGATAATTTCCAAATCCCTCTGATACCACTTCCGGTCACCCGTGTAATAAGTTTCTCGTAATGCACCCCTCTATCCCTACTTCGGTGAAATAAAGTAACATTTTATTGACAAAGTAGAATCTTTATTTCATATTCCATCTCTATCCCTACTTCGGTGAAATATAGTTACACTTTAGTGACAAAGTAGAATCTTTATTTCATATTCCATCTCTATCCCTACTTCGGTGAAATAAAAAAAACTACTTTGCCTCGGTTAATATAACTTTTTCAGGTTCATATCACATTTTATACACCATTACAAATTTTCATAATTGTATAATTTAATATCTTTCCCAAATAGTTCAGCTTGATTGTCGTACTCATCTACATGGATGCATTATATATGACATTATTTTTTTATAAATGACACCTATTCCTTCACCTTAACCATCAATATTCAATTATAGCCTTTGGCTGAGGTCGATACCTGGATTTATCGACCCGAGAAAAGATATAACGCCCGAGGACGCAGTCCGAGATCAATATATCTTTTCTCGGGTCGATAAATCCAGGTATTAACCGAAGTTAAAGGCTATAATTGTTTTATTATTTTACAAAACATTAATGTAGGCAATCTGGAAAAAAAAAAAAAAAAAGCTTCGGAAGGGGGACGGTGCATTGTTTGGAGACACATCATAATTCTATTTTTAGAAACACCCAGTCCTTAAACAAAAATCATGCGCTCCAAGTCAATATCGGTTTTTATCGGTGGACACGTGATGCACTCCTGGTGAATCAGTTGTCGGGAATAATATGAAAAAATAATAAGAAGTGATATGAACCAGAAAAAGCGATATTGACCAAGGCGAAGCCGAGGTCAATATCATTTGTTCAGGTTCTTATCACATCATATTTAGCATTATATTATAGCACAAAAGCCCGTAACTGTTTTATTATATGCTTCAACAATAAAACTGTGTATAGTTCACCTTTACTAGAAGGAGCCTTCGTGTAAAAGTCAGCCAGTCTTGAATACAACAGTTTGGCATCGTAGCTTTCGAAGACATCGTCAAGGTTTTTTCCTTAAGATAAGCATGGAGGACACGCACTGCGTGTTCAATGGCCTTTTTATGTTAACAGCATCTTTCTCTGCGAATAGTTTTGGTAATTTTCTGATGTAACTATGGAGAAACTTTCGCCAGAAGCCATCTTCTATTGTCATATGACAGATCGCGTTCCGGTCTAACTGCGCATGCGCTACGACAGGTTCCGGGGAATTTACATATAGGCTATATTTAGTAATCGATATTCACCGGATAACCAGTCTCGTGAGTTTTTGAGGACTGGTCACATGTATAGGATCCGACCAATGTGACTGCGAGAAATGTTCATGCATATAATAACACTGAATGACAAATATTATACATGTACATAACCTTCAAAAATTGGAGTTCGGTGTTTGAACAATTTTTTGAAGGTTATGATGACGAACGGGAAAGTTTCTAATGACAAAACGAAGTATCTCATGTACAAATCATATTTGTTGGTCAACAATCAATATGAGTGAACAAAAACCTTTTTTCAAAATCTGCATCAGTAGAACTAGTACAAAAGGAAAGATTAACAAGATTTACATGAAAAAGTAAAATAGAACAAGACAAGTTTTGCCAGAAGGGTAAGCGGCCTCTGCATTACTGACGACACCCAAGGTGTACATTTACATGTAGGTCAGATTCAAGTAATGTGACGTCGTCAAACCGAGAACCGGGGTAGTGCCAATGAAACCACGGGGCAAGCTAGTATGTCTAACAATTGTACTACAGAGCTTGCAATATTCGCCCGTGTACTGCCTTTGTGATAGATTTTTCCTGAATTTCGAACTAAGACTGTATTTATGAATAACGCACATTATATATGCATACCAAGTTTCTTCAATAAAAAAGTTTCTTCAAGTTTCTTCTTAAATTGATATTTAAGCAAATTATCTTGCGGTTACTAAAGTTTGGAAATTGACAAAGCAGAGCACATTATGCTTATTATTAAGCACGTGCGGAGTATGCTCAATTTCAAACTTAGCCTCAGTCTTCGGATAGATGTGCATGCATACCAAGTTTCAACAAAATCGAACAATATTTGAGCAAATAATGTTGCTGAAACTAAAGTGTGGACGGACGGACGGTCCCAATACCTCAATACGTTTCCTCAAAAATATTGGTGGGCTGATAAAAACCGACATTCATGCATGTTGCACACTGAAATAAATATTTCCCAATGAGGTCATGACAACGACCGTAAACATGTCTTTAGTCTTAACCAATTTCCATTTGTCGAAACCATGTGTTAGTAAATTTGTCAGTTAGCCGTCAATATCTTTATATATATAATATATAGAAATAGTTGTTATCTATATCTGTACATTGTTTATAGACAAAATATTAAACATTCTTTCAAAAAGACACTTACCTGAAATAAAACTCCGATATTTTTTCAAGGTTCAATTTCTGGAGGGTAGCTGTTTCTGGAATGGGGTTCTATAAAATCAAAATTCATTTTTGCATTATTGTTTTTGCTTTACAAAGAGAATAACTGCAATAACAACGTCAACGACAACAAATAACGACAACAAATACAAATACACGACGAAAACATCAAACAATGATAGCAAAAACGATATCAACTGCAAAAAATCAAGTTAGTGTGGGAGGAAACAGGAGTACCCGGTAAAAAACCTACGTGGTCGGGCATGTGACCCCCAACTTTTTCACGTCTGATCGAACACCGGTCGCCTTGGTGAAAAGCAAGTGCGCTATCCATTGCACCACCCGACCACCCAATGGTACACCCAATGGTACACACTGTCGTCGTTCACTCAGATAAGACTGTATCCAGCATAGTGCGGTATCAGTCACTCCATAACAGTACTCAAGACGTTTGTAAAGTATACCATGGTCGATGACGTTTAAGTGCATTTTGACAGATGTTTTATTTTGATATGGTTCATGACAGTGTTTATTATGTCTGTCTACTGTGAGATTTATTGCAACTTACTCAAAATACTAATTAAATATAAATAATCTGTTGCGATCTTAAGTTGTTCGTATGTGACGTTATCAATAGTTTTATAGGCATCTATATATCGGGAAATGTCTCAATCGTTTGCATTGAACTAATGAACCATTAATGGATTATATAGCCGTATAGTGCAGTAAGGACAACGTGATCGTACTGCGTGTTTATATTATGACCGCAAATCGGCTCTAAAACAAGACGGCAATACAAACTACACATAGGTATTTTCTTTCTATCAAAAATCGTTTTAATGCCATGGAATTGTGATACGGAGGATAAGTCCGATATTGAGTGTAAAATGTTACCTTTTATAATCAATATTCCCAACCGCCTTGCTAAGAAGTGTTAATTTACCTGTTGACCTTGACTTGGTGTAGACGACAAGGTCAACAATAGGCTTGCCATCCTCACCCTCGGCATACGTCTGTAACTACGTGAGGTAACTAAACAACTTGTATTGTATGGAAGGTCCTCAGGACTTTAACTTGAAAACACATTTATTTATTGACAATGTGTATTTATTTTCACTTTATTTTCAATACATTTTAGTTTTCTACTATATAACAAAGAAGAAATAGCGACAGTGCTTACGGTTCGTCCAATTTTCGGACATCTCATCCCTTTATCAAGACACAAACATGAGAAAAGTACACCAAACATCAATCATTGTTATGCTCATTTTTGGAAGTTCGTATTGATCGTAGATAATACAACTGAAAATTCACGCAAACCTGACATATTTACGTTTAGATTCACATGGTATACAATCAAAAGACACTTTTTTAACAAATAGTCCTCAGCTCCCAGCCGGCCGAAGGGTATGCTTTACTGTTTCAATTGCGGGTTAATCTTTAAACGCAGTTTTTGAAATTTGCTTCGACCGTAGATATCTTGTAAGATTTACTCACACTTTAAATTTAATATATCTATTCATTTTGGTAAATAATCAGATCAGTCTTTCGTTGAAAAAAAAAGGAAAAAAAGAAACCTTTGCCTCGTATCCAGCTAAAGAGGATATATGCTTTCACATCAGTGTCAGTAATGTTTTTTTTCTTCTCTTTTTCATATTTTGTGTTATGTAGTTGTTTCATGTTTGTCTGAATGATGGGATGGATTTTCCCGAAAAAGAAAGATTCAGTTGTCCCTACTGTTGGTATGGTTTTGCTCTATATATGTGTTTGATTTGTATTTGAAACTTAGTAGCGTAATGTGTATGTACACATACAAGTTAAGTGAAATGTACAAAATATATTCTCCTGAATATCTACTTAATTACCGCAAAAAGAACTACTCAAAAATCGTTTGGCTAAATGAAGCTTTCACATGTTTTTGGTCTACAAATTAGGATACTTCTGAAAGAACATCTATATAGTCTGAGGGTACATTACAGGTTTTTAACCAGATACCTGTCATTTGTGTCATGTCTGTGATTTTATCATCACGGTATGAACTTAAGCAGCCCATCAATGTTGTATAGGCCTTCTCGATTTTTAGTATTATAAATGAGTTTTCATTTCATATGAGATTTTATGAAACGAGTCTTAGGAGTTTTTATTTTTACGAGGCCTATACAACATTGATGGGCTGTACAGACATGACACACATGACAGGCATCTGGTTAAAATCCTGTAATGTACCCTCAGACTATATAGATGTTCTTTCAGAAGTATCCTAATTTGTAGACCAAAAACATGTGAAAGCTTCATCTAGCCAAACGATTTTTGAGTAGTGCTTTTTTGTACATTTCACTTAACTTGTATGTGTACATACACATTACGCTACTAAGTTTCAAATACAAATCAAACACATATATAGAGCAAAACCATACCAACAGTAAGGACAACTAAATCTTTCTTTTTCGGGAAAATCCATCCCATCATTCAGACAAACATGAAACAACTACATAACACAAAATACTTTGTATCACATAACTCAGAAAACTTACAGTTTGACAGGTTTTAAAGCCAAAATAAAGAGGGTTAATCAAACAGACAGACATTTTGTTGGGCTATTCACAATTTATGACGTCACGTCATTGTCCATATTATGACGTCACAATCGATTTCTGACTGGCACAGCCAATGAAAAACGCTCCAGGGTATATTCACTAGTGACATATGTAAAAATATTACACGGGTGAATTCACTGGATAACAGACTCATTATGTGATAAATGTCAGTGGCGGATCCAGAGGGTTTTTTTGGGCTTCAGGAACCCCCCCAAGTCTGATAATTTTCTTTAAAAATCATGTATTTTCACCAATTTCCNATGTATTTTCACCATTTTCCTCAATTTTTCCCCACATGGAAACCCCCCCCAGGAAATTTGGAAACCCCCCAAGATAGGTCTCTGGATCCGCCACTGAATGGCTTTACTGACAGCGAATGTTTGAATTAATTGTCGAGTCTATTACATTCCAAATTAATTGTCGAGTCATTTGTCGAGTCTATTTAATTCCAAATTAATTGTCGAGTCTATTATACAATTATGGACTTTTGTGCTGGTGAATATGATGTGATATGAACCTGAAAGAGTGATATTGACTGAGGTTCATATCACATCATTTTTACCAGCACAAAAGCCCATAACTGTTTTATTATATGCTTCAACAATAAAATAAAACAAAACAAAACCACAGGTTCTGATGTTTGTACGCGAGCATCCGTGTAAAATCAGAGACGTATTATACGTCTCTGGTAAAATTAAGCCTGGTTTGAATACAACAGTTCAGCATTGTAGCTTTCGAAGGCATCGTCTAGATTCTTTTTCTTAAGATAAGCATGGGGGACATGTACTTCTTGTTCAATGGCCCCTTTTTTTTACGTTAACAGCATCTTTATCCTCTAAGAGTTTTGGTTATTTTCCTAACGGAGGAGAAACGTTCTTCTAATGTCATCTGACAGATCGCGTTCCAGTCTAACTGCGCATGCGCTACGACATGTTCCGGTGAATGAATTCACCGGATAACCAGTCTACATGAGTTTTTGAGGACTGGTCATTTGTATAGGATCCGAACAATGTGATTGCGAGAAATGTTCATGCATATAATAATAAATTCTAAATTAATTGTTGATTCTTAAATACCAAACAGCTGTAATCATATTAAATGTTTTATATTATCTCTAGTAAGAGATGTTTTATCATTTTACTAATAGTACTTACCTCCATTGGCCATGTCAAGAACGTTTTCTTCTTGGGCAAAAAGTGAAGAACTTTCTGTTCCGAACCTATTATTTGTTGGAAGTCATAATTCTGACTCTGATGTAGTACGAGTAGTGTACAGACCACAATGACGACGGCGAGGATGACAGTCCTCTTCTGGGCAGAGGAAGGCATGGTCAACAATCTTTATAATCACGATCTGCGGAAAAGAGAATTAATCAATACTCTGAATGGAAAAGTTAGGAGAAGAATGTTGGTGGGTTGGAGGTGGGGGGGNAGTGTGTGTGTGAATGTGTTTAAAAGGGGAGTGTTGGTGGGGTGGATGTAGGGTAGGGGGATTGTGTGTGTGTGTATGTATTTGGGAGAGGAATGTTGGTGGGGTGGAGGTGGGAGTAAGAGTGATTTTTGGTGTGTGTATGTGTTTGGGAGGGGAATGTTGGTGGGGGTAGGGGATTGTGTGTGTGTGTGTATGTATTTGGGAGGGGAATGTCGGTGGGGTGGAGTTGGGAGTAAGAGGGATCGTGGGTGTGTGTATGTGTTTGGGAGGGAAATGTTGGTGGGGTGGATGTGGGGTAGCGGGATTGTGTGTGTGTGTATGTGTTTGGGAGGGGAGTGTTGGTGGGGTAGATGTGGGGGTAGGGGGATTGTGGGTGTGTGTATGTGTTTGGGAGGGGTGTGTTGATGGGGTGGAGGTAAGGGGATAGTGTGTGTGTTTGAAAGGGAAGTGTTGGTGGGGTGGATGTGGGGTAGGGGGATTGTGTGTGTGTGTATGTATTTGGGAGAGGAATGTTGGTGGGGTGGAGGTGGGAGTAAGAGTGATTTTTGGTGTGTGTATGTGTTTGGGAGGGGAATGTTGGTGGGGGTGGGGGATTGTGTGTGTGTGTGTGTATGTATTTGGGAGGGGAATGTTGGTGGTGTGGAGGTGGGGGTAGGGGGGTTGTGTACTAACAAACCAAGAGTACTAAAAGAGCTTGCAACAGAAATAGCCCCGATTTTAACCCTAATATGTAATCAGTCACTGGAAACAGGCACAGTGCCTTCAGACTGGAAATCTGCAAATGTATCACCTGCTTATAAAAATGGTCCAAAATTTCACCCAGAAAACTACAGGCCCATATCTCTGACCTGTATTCTGTAGCAAAATTATGGAACACATTGTGGTCCCAACTATCATGACCCATGCCGATACCCATAACATATTGTATCCGTTCCAACACGGTTTTCGCAAATCGCGATCATGCGAAACCCAACTTCTTGAATTTGTGGATGACATCTCAAAGAATCTTGATGAGGGACGCCAAACAGATATCCTTATAATGGACTTTGCTAAGGCTTTCGACAAGGTCAGTCATTCTCTCCTAAACCATAAACTAAAACATTATGGTTTACGTGTAAATGTCGCAAACTGGATCGAGAGTTTCCTGACCGGTAGAACTCAGACAGTAGTAGTTGAAGGGGAGAAGTCTGAGTTTGTCGATGTCCATTCCGGGGTACCCAAGGGGTCAGTTTTGGGACCCAGTTTATTTCTTTACTTTATAAACGATATCCCTGTGGGTCTAAATGCTATAATCCGTTTATTTGCAGACGACACTATTGCATATCTAGTTATCAAGTCAAACAGTGATGCTGAAACACTTCAAAAAGATCTTGACAAACTAGCGTTCTGGGAAAATAATGGAAAATGATCTTCCACCCAAACAAATGCAATGTGTTGTCGGTGACTAAAAACAAAACTCCAATAGTCCATAATTATACTTAACATGGACACACTGGAACATCTTAGTCAGGCCTAGTATCTGGGCGTAACACTATCATCTGACCTTAAACGGGATTCACATATAAACACTATTTGCCCAAAAGCAAATTCTACGCTAGGCTTTTTAAGACGAAATCTTAAAATTGGCTGAACATCAGCCAAAGTACTGGCATACAAATCCCTGTACAGTATGGGACCCTCACACCCAAACAAATATTGTCAAGTTGGAAATGGTCCAGCGAAGGACAGCGCTATGTGCTCAATAAACACAGGTACAACCATCGTACCTCCAGTGTGTCAGAAATGTTGGACCACCTAAAGCTGCGCCCTCTAGCAGATAGACGTAGAGATGCTCGTCTGACCATGCTTCATAACATTGTAAACCAGAAAGTCGCTATCGTAAAATCAGACAGATTAATCTTTATAGTTAGAAAGTCCCGAACAAACCACCAGTTTTCGTATCAAATTCCCCACTCAAAACCCCAGACCAGAACGGCATCATTCTTCCCTCGAACTATACCCGAGTGGAACAAATTCCCACCTGACATTATTTCGAGCCCCATAACAGAATTATTCAAATCAGCCCTCAACCGTCACTTTTCAAAAGCAAATTAGACCATCTCGTATCTTTTAAAAACAATCTCTTTCCATGTTTCATCCTCGTCTGACATTTTATCTTCAAATTGTTGAAGTTGGTCAGTACCATTTAGAAGTAGAAGGTTAAATTCGCAGTCCCCTAATATCCCTATATACCAATTTTCTTCAAAATCAAACAATATCTAAATTTCGACCAATCAGAAGCCTCCGTGTGGTTGCTATGGTAACGAAACTAAAGCGGTTTTATTCGCAGTCCCCTAATATCCATATAAACAAATTTTCATCAAAATCTAACAATATCTTAATTTCGACCAATCAGAAGCCTCCGTGTGGTTGCTATGGTAACGAAACCAATGCGGTTTTATTCGCAGTCCCCTAGGCCTAATATCCATATATACACAAAATTTCATCAAAATCTAACAATATCTAAATTTCGACCAATCAGAACCCTCCGTGTGGTAGCTATGGCAACGAATCCGATGCGGTTAATACCAACAGACAGACGGACAGTCAGACAGACAGACAGACAGACGGACAGACGGACAGACAGACAGACAGACAGACCCATATCAATATCCCCTGTTTCGGTGAAAGCGGGGGATAATAAGTGTTGGAAATAGTACATCAGTTACTGTCAGAAGGTGAGCGTATGCCAATGTTAGCCCTGACTGTTTGCGTACTTTCAGATAAAAGATAAAGGAAAGCCATTCGGCTAATACAAAAAACACAACGATGGTATATGTATGTTCATTATGCTTATTGACCGAATATTATTGACATTTTGCTAATTTAATAAATGAAGCTGAAATAAATAATGATGATATACTTCAAACTAGAGAGTGCTGTATAAAAAAGAAACATATCTAACATGGCATACAACTGTACCATATTGAAATGTCCTAACTGTACCTTAATTACAGCTGTTGGTCTAACATAATATTAATGCGGTGTTATCGGTCATTTGAAGAATGTAACATGTACTACCGTGGTCTAAGTAGTATATTTGGTTTTATTTTATATGAATTATCGTTCTATTAACAATTTAGAAGTAAAAACAAAACCTAACTAAACTCAATGTCAAACGGGCAACACCAGACACATGGAACTAGAAAACGTTACCAGAGGTTATCAGTAGTGTAACGGGCAACACCAGACACACGGACCTAGGAAACGTTACCAGAGGTTGTCGTCAGTGTAACGGGCAACACCAGACACACGGAACTAGTAAACGTTACCAGAGGTTGTCGGTAGTGTAACGGGCAACACCAGACACACGGAACAAGGAAACGTTACCAGAGGTTGTCGGTCGTGTAACGGGCAACACCAGACACATGGAACTAGAAAACGTTACCAGAGGTTGTCTGTCGTGTAACGGGCAACACCAGACACATGGAACTAGGAAACGTTACCAGAGGTTGTCAGTCGTGTAACGGGCAACACCAGACACATGGAACTAGGAAACGTTACCAGAGGTTGTCTGTCGTGTAACGGGCAACACCAGACACATGGAACTAGGAAACGTTACCAGAGGTTGTCTGTCGTGTAACGGGCAACACCAGACACATGGAACTAGGAAACGTTACCAGAGGTTGTCTGTCGTGTAACGGGCAACACCAGACACATGGAACTAGGAAACGTTACCAGAGGTTGTCTGTCGTGTAACGGGCAACACCAGACACATGGAACTAGGAAACGTTACCAGAGGTTGTCTGTCGTGTAACGGGCAACACCAGACACATGGAACTAGGAAACGTTACCAGAGGTTGTCTGTCGTGTAACGGGCAACACCAGACACATGGAACTAGGAAACGTTACCAGAGGTTGTCTGTCGTGTAACGGGCAACACCAGACACATGGAACTAGGAAACGTTACCAGAGGTTGTCTGTCGTGTAACGGGCAACACCAGACACATGGAACTAGGAAACGTTACCAGAGGTTGTCTGTCGTGTAACGGGCAACACCAGACACATGGAACTAGGAAACGTTACCAGAGGTTGTCTGTCGTGTAACGGGCAACACCAGACACATGGAACTAGGAAACGTTACCAGAGGTTGTCTGTCGTGTAACGGGCAACACCAGACACATGGAACTAGGAAACGTTACCAGAGGTTGTCTGTCGTGTAACGGGCAACACCAGACACATGGAACTAGGAAACGTTACCAGAGGTTGTCTGTCGTGTAACGGGCAACACCAGACACATGGAACTAGGAAACGTTACCAGAGGTTGTCTGTCGTGTAACGGGCAACACCAGACACATGGAACTAGGAAACGTTACCAGAGGTTGTCTGTCGTGTAACGGGCAACACCAGACACATGGAACTAGGAAACGTTACCAGAGGTTGTCTGTCGTGTAACGGGCAACACCAGACACATGGAACTAGGAAACGTTACCAGAGGTTGTCTGTCGTGTAACGGGCAACACCAGACACATGGAACTAGGAAACGTTACCAGAGGTTGTCTGTCGTGTAACGGGCAACACCAGACACATGGAACTAGGAAACGTTACCAGAGGTTGTCTGTCGTGTAACGGGCAACACCAGACACATGGAACTAGGAAACGTTACCAGAGGTTGTCTGTCGTGTAACGGGCAACACCAGACACATGGAACTAGGAAACGTTACCAGAGGTTGTCTGTCGTGTAACGGGCAACACCAGACACATGGAACTAGGAAACGTTACCAGAGGTTGTCTGTCGTGTAACGGGCAACACCAGACACATGGAACTAGGAAACGTTACCAGAGGTTGTCTGTCGTGTAACGGGCAACACCAGACACATGGAACTAGGAAACGTTACCAGAGGTTGTCTGTCGTGTAACGGGCAACACCAGACACATGGAAC